AAATAGTAGTAGTCTCAGCGAGTAATAATACGTATATTATATCTTATGTACAAAATTTGCAAGACTAGATAATGCTCGTTTTTCTCGAATCGTGTCAAGTCTACACCAGTGTAGCAATTGTCATCACGTCGTGTCTAAAGTTTATATATATATATATATATATATGTATATATTATATTGTACCTGCAGAGAAATTGCCGTACAATATTAATGTTTGATGTCCCACGAATTCAAATTATGGACACAGATTTTTATTTTTATCCACAACAATATTATAATAATAATGATGATGATAATAATAATAATAATAGGCACATACGTTATGATAAACAAATATATATATATATATTATATATGTATATATACTTTCACATTCTTAAACGGATACATACGCAAGTTTATATATACATTTAGATATAGAGATATAGGTACTTATATATTATTACTATAGTTTTATTTTAATTATTCATTTAATGTATAATTTTTTTTTTTACATACTTTTGCGCGAAAATGGAAAAACTAATTATTAGGAACACATTAAATAGGTTGGAATATCTCGAACGCAATTGACACAAACAAATATTATACACATACGTATACGTATATATCTTATACATTTATACATATACCTATATTTAATATTATCTTAACATGCCCGAAGCGGGGACACGGTACCTTGTCTTTGTCCTGCGCATGCGTGCAAGCACACACATACACGAAAAACCCGTAAATGCGAACACATGTGTGCGTACGTAGGGTCGTCGGGTACGGCGGCCTTTTTTTATGTGCTAAACCCGGGCGACAGTTCGTCTGCGGCCGATTGGGCGGCGACCCAAGACTGTCCGCAACGCGGTTGCTGCTGCTGCTGCTGTTGTTGTTGTTGCTGCTGTTGTTGTTGTTGTTGCTGTTGTTGTTCGTACTGCTGTAAGCTCTGTTCCAACTCCAGCAGCTGTCCCATAAAGTTAAGGTTCGGCGATATGATCGGCCTAGCTGCCTTGACCATCTTGTATGCGTCCACCATGGACGTCTTCCGGTGGCGCATCACATACGCGATGGCTATGGTCGGCGACCGTGATATGCCGGCCTGGCAGTGTATCAGYACACTTCCGCCGGACTTCCGAGCGCCTTCTATAAAAAAAAAACAACAAAATAGATCGCGATGAGTATGAATATTCAAACAGGCACGACTTCTGTAACCGTCAGCCTAGCGGCCATCGTTAATATGGGGAGGGAGGGAGTGAAGGTTGTAACTTACGCGGGATATTACAGGTCGGATGCGTGATTTATGCTATATTTTATCAGTTTACTATTGATTAAACATATTTATAACATTTATGCATGGTCGTGCAGTTTAATCTCTATTGACAGCTGATATTAGCAATATTTTGTTTACACGGCAGTAGCCATTATTTGTAGTATTAGTACAAAAACTACACAAAACATGACTCATAGTCATCGATAAATGGCGTTATGGCGTATTTTGTGGTTAATTTTAGCTGACAACTGAGCCAGAAATAAACAAGTCGCGAGCGGCACCCGAATTTGGCTATAAAAGCACTTCCACAGTCAAAGATCTGGTAGACGTCCAGCGTTAAATCAAATCTCGGTGTGCGTCCAAATTGACGGTTTAAATTTTGGCTCTAAACGAGTGAGTCTATTTTGAGTTGTAAGAACGTTATAACTATAACTAACGTAACACACCCACACGCGTGTTCATATACGCATTTGGTGTCATAATCGTATGGGTCGCATAAGCGGACGATCTAATTTTGAGTTTCCACGCTCAAGTCACCGCCACCACAGGATCCCACGGTTTTATTGAAATTAATAGTCTTGCAGGACTATATAGCTAGTGTACTACAGATGTAAATTATACGTATATAAGAGGGCAACAGGAGAGCTYCCGTGACGTCATCTATTGTGACATCAACGGGTCATGCGTAGTTCTAGTACCCTCACGAATATCATATAGGGGTTGTCGCCATGTGTACGCTGCGGAAAGGGGTGACAATCACGGGGCAATTACATTACGTCCGGGAACATATATGAGTCATTAGCAGTAATAGTTTTTTTTTTTTTTGGAAGAAGGGGCACCACTTGCCCAGTGGTGCACCGATGACGGGTAATTGGGAATAACCTAACAGAATTATTATTTATATACACTTAAATGACATAAATGCGTGTGATTTACGCAGSGAAAAACGTCAACGACCAAATCGAAACGAATAACGTTAATGTGTATAGTCTGGACATTCACAAGACGTACGATAATATTTATTTTTACGAGCGCGTGCAACACGAGCAATATCATAGCTGCAGTGGTATCGGTGTGAACAACTCCGCCGCGTGTACAACAGCGGATACGCGTACACGTCGTATATATAATAACACACAACGTGACTCACGCGAGAGGTCGTGCGCCGATGAGCTATAAATGGCTAAACACAACCGCACCGGTGCGCTCGTCTAGAAATCCGCTCGCACAAACATTTCCCCGGTCTCGTGTAAAAACAATATAAACATTGCCGACGTGTGTCGGTTGTCGGAGGTTCCACTTATGTGAAAAAGGGATTCTGGGCGCACCCCATAGGCATATAACTGCTATATATGTGTACACCTAATAATACACGTAATTGTGTTCGCCTCTAATAGTTTCCAAGTACGGGTTTTAAATACCGGTCGGACTGATGTTATTGTTTTGTCAAAAGAGGAATAGGAATGGCAGAAGGGGTGGGTGGAGTGTTTCCGGACGGGTGTCCGCGGACGACGGCGTCGTTGTCAACACGATATATACAGTGGGACCCACCACTACCGCTGTCGCTGAAAACAATACAAACAATAAAACTCGGTCAAACGCGGGCGATGACGTCACCCATACGTGTGCATATCGTCGTAGGATAGTCTAGTGCTATACAGCTGCCACCGAACTTCGCCGTGACTCACGGGGACCACGGAAACGTAGGGGAAGCGGCTTCTGTTTTCCCGCCCTTTTTTGGCGGCAGAAAAAGCGACCCCCTATGAGCATGACTCCCTAAACTTATACCAGCGTTTAATAACAATGACGAGCACTACGTATAATACAATCGTATATTGTTTGATGCGCGATTACGTGTCACAAACGGCGGGGTATCCTGCAGCAGTTAAATACACGACAAAAAAGATAAWGCAGTGATCGATTTGGGCAGCAAACCGTCATATTGAAAACTATATAATCACCATAAATATTGTYTGGTCTATAATGATAACACAAATTAGAAACGATGGTTTTTGGGTATAGGTCCCGCGCGGTATATCATGATATGGTAATCGGTTACATACCGATGAATTCGAAAGCTTCCTCGAAATACTGTTTGAGGTTGGCATGCCCGTTGTCTAAGACGGAAAGTCGCTTATACACTACGCCAGAAGCGCGATGGTCCATAGTCGGGGATGGTGACTGTTGGCTCGTAGTCACATTCAGCACACGGGTTACTCCGATAGCGGTCATACCATCCCGGTCGTCGGCATCCTTGCTGTTACCGAGGTACAAGAACGGCAGCACCTTGGTCAGGGGGTGGGTGTCCATAGACTCGCGATCCACATCTGGAGGGCAGCTGGCGCTCACCGGCGCTGGCAGCAGGGAATTCTCGCACATGTCCTTGTGTCGGGAATGAAATTCTTTGTGGCCACCTGAATGGAGAAAAAAAAATCGTATTAAAATAAAGAACGTCCGAGACTACCGCAATCGAGGGTGCCGTCGAGGGCATGGATATTATAAGACGACGGGAGGATAATATTTCCGACGAATTAGCGTGGGTCGACTATAGATACTATTATAGTACTACGTGTTATATGCAATACGTATTATTTGCAATCGATCGGTATCCAATAAGTCCTTATACTTAATGTATACGTAAATTTAATAATAATCGACTGATATATTACTAATTTTTCACATTGATCTGTACAATAATTATCRCGTTCCATAAATAAAATCGACTTGTTTGTACACACGGTAATAACATATATTCGCTTTATTTACAAACAAGGAATACRAGTCTTAAAACAAACTAATTGTTAAAATATGTTTATGCAGTTTTAAATTAAACAGTCTTGGTTTAGAAGTTGTATTTCGTTTGAGTAAASAAGGAAATTGTAATCTAATAAGTAAGCAGTAATATTAAACATTTACCGGTTTTTTTTWAAATAAAAGCGTTAATAAACGTTGTTCGTATACAAAAAATTAAATATACAACATAGTATTATTATTATCAGTTCACTATAATTGTAAGTTGTAACTGTGAGTATATTAGTAACTWTCTTTTCGAATATTCAAATTATCCTACGTGTAGAACGTGTGCACGCGTGTGAACAGTATTTATAAATGTATTTTTGTTTATATTGGTACGTAGACAAAGTAATCATTGTCGGTACATAGATTTCCCGTGTGCCTTCCTGTGTACCAGTAAAATAGAAGAAATAAAACAGATTAACGCGTATGTAGTGCTAGGAAATATGTACAATAATTTTGTTTTTATTATTATTATTATAATCATTCAACATCACGATAATTAAACGATTTTACTCSCACATAATAGTGTAGGAGAGGTCGAAATGACAGTCGTCAATCCGTCAATAATTATTTGCGTACCTGAACGGATTCTACTCCAAGTGGGACAAGCACTGTCCAGGGACAGCTTGAGCTTGAGCGTGAGCTTTTTGTGTCCTATTGCGGCGGTCATCTTGCGCTTTTAAATAATATTRCTATGTGTCCACAATAACAGTCTTAAAATTCGGACACGAGTATATGTAATATTATTATTATTTATAATTATCGTGTTGTATATCGTAGGTCGAAACACTCGAAACGTTATTCAAAAAATTTTGTTGACTTAAAAAAAAAGTTTTATGATATAGGCGATATTATATTTAAAACAAAAATATTACTGAAATACAACAACTACAGTAGTTTATAGTAATATAATATTTTTTATTACACTGTGCTAATCCGACGTAGGAAAGAGGTCGTCAAGAACGAAGAGGAAAACGTTTGCCTGCGGAAAAGGCTACGCACAATTTAATATTTGTACCACACACATTTTGGATACGCGGTAAACGGTAACAATCGAGCGCGTGCGACACGTTACACGACTACAAGTCGAATGGATGGCAACTGGCGGCGTTCGAATCTGCGAGCGCGGTCGCACGCGGTCCTCTGGATCACGGAAGGCSCGTGATGGGAGGGGCGAAAAGTGACATGGCGAGGGGCCAGAGCGGGGTAACGCATAAACACGTCGTACTACTACGCGGCGGATAAACCGGCTGGTATGATATTATAATATCGTAACCTTTCTCGCCGTGCATTAGTCATCCGACCTTGTCTCCTCCCCCTCGACTCACCTCTTTCCCGACAACGCCGCCGCGACTGACGATGACGCCGCCGCCGTGAATGACAGTGTACACACGACATCCCCCGCGCGCATATTATGTTATTATTATTATGCATTTGATAAACAAGCGCCGCCGCCGTTACATATTTTTTTACGTCTCGACGACCACCATCGCAATTAAAATAATTAAATAATATTTTGTACATATTATTACTTGTTATGAATAATAATAGTGCGTATTGAGTATTGCGCATGATGCATCGCCGTATACACATCACTTCGAAAAACGAAATAGTTTTTTGCAATATTTACTGCCTATTATTGTTGATAATGTCACAACAATAATATGATGATGCCTATTATTATTACTGCAACTCGCTGCAACTCAGCAGGTATTGGGGAAACTCACGTGCAGTGTAATATTATGTATCTATTATACCATGACGACGATACCGCATTAAGGTTGTAAGGTAAACGGTAAAAAAGTCAGCGAACAACTCATTTAAAATAAATRTATTAATTGTTGTTTAGTCATTATTATTAATAAGCTGCAGCGGTCACAAATACATTTTTTTTCTTACTCTTAGACATAACATTTAATTTTATTACAATATATGTCCAGGAATTTGGAAACAATTTCTATCACGAAACCACTAACATGAATAAGTGATATTATAACCCAAAACAATTGGTAAAAAATAAAAATAATCATTCATTAGCACCAAATTCACTATGATGCTATAATAGCGTTGATTTTTAAACAAATATCTGTCACCAGTAAAACAAAGCTCGGATAAACTTTGAATTTTTTTTAGGGGTGGGGGGAGATATGCATGCTCGACTTTTATCAAGTTTAGTTACGATCCGTAAGACTTTTTTTCCCCATTATTTTGTCTAAAAAAAAAGAAAAGTTTTACGTAATTATATATTCATTAATACGCATACCCGGGTGGCTTGAATAAATTTCGTTTAACTTAATCTAATTTACTTGTTTAAACTACATAGTGTAAAATACTATACTATTTTAATATTTAAATGTTTGCGTTATGTCTGTATTATTTATAACTAATAACTACCTTTGTATTTTTTTTATTTTAATTAAATATTCATAACGTAGGGCGTTGCAAATAATTATATTTACARACATTATTTTATACGAYACATGATAATATTAACTTAAAATTTATCTWAATATAAAATAGATTATTTTGTCTATTGGGCTTTTTGTTACAACGCCGTCACGAATACACGCCAAAAATCGAAAACAATTTTTCGATTATCCGCCCCAGTTGACCGTCCAACGAAGTGTGAAATCAAATTCTGTAAGTAATGTTTGTCAAACTCCGCTACTGCGACACATCATAATTTAATATTATTATATTTGTGAAACGGATCGCCACCCTTCGATTTATTGCCAGTTTTGTTCSCGTAAATGCAACGTACTATACGACATTAGACTGTTTCACTTATCGAAATTCGATCGTTTATCGTGCGAAATGCGTGTAATAATTAAGCCGACAAGAGGATTGACATTTCCATTAGTCGGCGTGGTTAGGGAAAATTCAAAATAGTGCTTTTTTTCTGTTTTTTCGTCGACAGCAGAGGARGCTCTGTTTGAACAATACTGCTCCTCTGCTACCATCGTTTATTGATGAATACAATTAATTTATGAACTCATACAAACAGAAAATGGTACCTACGAGAGATACACGTTGATAAAATGATATTTATTTGTCCGGAACAAAGTGTAATACTGTAATCGAGTAAAATTTATAACAACGATTTATACATTATTACATTATACTTGTCGGATATTATTTAATGGGCCTATATAATATATGGTATATACATATACACGAATACGGGTACTTAACAACTGACGTTTTTTTTTGATATATGAAACTACTTAACGATAAATAAAAATAAATTGGTATAGTATTTTCGTATAATATAATATATTATTGTTATAAYATTTATATCCTCTAAATTATACGCGTCGAACCCTGTAAATGACGACATCGTACATAAAACACTACAGTATTGCGTTTCATCTGGACTATATAATGTTATTGCATTGACGTATTTTTCCAAATGTAATTTTCACTCATACAGTCATACCGAATTCGTATTGTGATTAAATTATATATAATATTATTTATACACAAATTAATTAATGATTAAAATTGACATTCGCGAAACATAAACTATTAAAATATTATAATAATTGTTTAACTTTATATAAAATAATTAAAAATATTTATATATATATATTTATATATCATACAATAATGCATAAAATTACCAACTCAATATAATTAAGTATTAATAATAATATGCATAAGATATTGAGATAATATAAATTATAATAGAATAAGACTATATGTCATTATACAAATATTGTATTACTATCTATATTATAATTTAATCAGATTTGAGTTCAATTATAATATTATTTGTCATTTACTACGATAAATTCAGTTCATTAAGTGTGAGTCACTCGATTAAATCATATAGATGAGACGTACTGCTATAATATACACATAACACATATTGCATTAAATATATAATTTTATAAAAAGTTTTCAAACGAAAAAAAAAAGCACTTGCGAGTTGCAGATATGATATTTTTTTTTTCAAATCGGTTCATGTTATGAGAATACCTACTTCTCCCGTGCTAACAGATTATTAATTAACGCCGACCGAGTAAACTTTAATAAGCATCACTAAGTCGCATTTCGCATATGTTATCGTTGATTAACAAACGATAGAAAAACCGGTTATTCGATGGAATGACAAAATTGTTTGGCCTTGATATGTTGTGAGACCTTTATGAAACACGTGCGTTTCCTCATTTCTTCCTAGCTGAATCATTCTGATCAGTCACATCGGAGGAACAACGAAAATAAATTTACTCAAAATATCAGCTATATACCCTAGTACCATTGGTTATAATATCAACAATGATACTACCCATACAGTGTTATAACTTAATATAAATTGTAATAAAGTGCGGAATCCTGCATAACTATCATGTGCGCCTATAACAGCAGATTTCAGGGAAAACTATTCGTAACTTGGAGGGCGTTTATGCGAGGAAAATATATTATCATGACAACCACAGAATATGACATAATGTACACATACTTATGGYATGAATATTACCTTAAATACTCTTGATGACAGTTCAATTATTATTAGTAAACAACAGAACGAGAGACTTTGCACAGGCAACTCRAGATAAAATCAYGTATAATWATATATTGGCATATAATACTGATGAATGACGATGGTGACTATGGC